ATTGTAGCTCATTCTGCTCTGTATTGTTATTAAACTGTCCTTATCTCAACCCACATATTTTACTCCAGTTGTTCTCCTCCCCATTCCTCCGGGTTGGGGGGGCAAGAGCGGGGAGGAGGGAGTGTAAGCAGCTGCGTGGTTCTTGGCTGCTGGCTGAGGTTAAACCACGACAGAGTTTTATCAGTCCTCCTTACTTCAGAACATTTTGCAGAAAGAGAGGATGGTATGAAAACCACAGTTCTTTCATGTTCGTAAGACTAAGAGCAGGACAAGTTTGTTTCTTCAGGCAGATGCTGCTACATAATGTAGCCCTTCCCTTAAGCTACTTGGTTTCAGTGCTTTTTATGTCAAGTACACTTAGTAAGATGTACCATAATAGAATTTTGTATTGTGGACAGCCAGCTTGCTTTCTTAATGTGTTTCGAAAGAAATAATAATTTTATTACTATTTCTTCAGTTTCTGTAGTTGCATGCTAATATGATCTAAAATACAGGGTCACAAAGCAAATCCATCTAAATTCCTGTGTGCTTCTCTGTGGCCCACAGTGCATTTGACTATGACACTGAAAATATGAATTCTGAAGATATTTACAGCTCTCTTCGTGGAGTCACTGAAGCCATTCAGAATTTCAGTTTTCGTAGTCAGGAGGACATGAATGAGCCTGTGAAACGAGATTCAAAAAAAGACGATGGTGATTCGGTGAGTGTTTTTCAAACTCAGTGCATGTTGGTGTCAGCAGCCAAGCCAGTGATTTATTGCAGATGATGAAGGATCTGTTTCAGGAGGTTTATATGTTATGACTTGTGAAATTGTTTTTTTCTCCCGAATTCTTCAGAGATTTAGAAAAAACACATTCCTAGTCTTGAACCATATTTTGAAAATGTAAATGCTAATTCTTAGTAGCACTAGCTGTTTGTGTATTTTAAAGTGTTAGTTTTAAAACAGGGATCTTGTAAAGCAGCTGGAGTTCACTTCTTCAGAAGTTTATGTACGCTTTTCCAAAGGTTTTATTTTATTTCATACAAAACCTGTGGGGTTTTTCCTGTGCTACATGCAGTGATTAAAAAATCTTGTTTCTATGGAACCTTGGCATTCAGATTTGTTGGGCTTGCCAAGTTTATATTTACTTAAACACATTTTTAATTACTTTGCATCAAACTTGTGAGATAAAATACTGAGAGCTGTTTCTAGTTCATAGGGTTTTTTGGACCATGTACACTTTCTGTATTCTTTGTGTGTTCTGTTTTTTGGTTTGTTCGTTTATGGAAAGCAAAGTTTAGGGAACTGTTTCTAAGACTTCTTATTTGAAGACTAGTTTGAAATTGGTCAACGTTTTGAAATTTGTAAATTTCTGCAAGATAAATGAATTAGTGATATGGTTAATGGAAAGGTGTGAGTGTGTATTTCCTGTGCTCTTACATTTCTTCTCCTGCAGATCTGCAGTGCTTCTGGAATAGTAGATATCCGAGCAGGAAGTGGTGTGGGTGACACAGGCCGAACAGCTCTGGATAACAAAACATCATTACTCAACACAATGCCTCCCCACTCCTCACCACGGTCACGAGATTATAACCCATACAATTATTCTGATGGTATCAGTTCATTTAATAAATCAGCTTTGAAAGAAGCCATGTTTGATGATGATGCAGAGCAATTTCCTGATGGTAAGCTTCAGATTACATACTGTGCTGGAAGAAAAATGGGGAGATTTTCCATCTTCTAGTTCAGTTTCTGAATTTGTTATTAGCAGTATGTGTATCATCAGTGCTACTTCTTTGAGAGGTTATTACAAGCACTGTGTTTTGAATTACTTTATTTGTTCGTAATCTGTTTGAGTGGCATTTTTGGATTATCCAGTATTTGTAGAGATTAAGGGTAAAAAGGAGGTAAATACTGAACTGTATTGCATACTTCTTTTTAGCACATCTTGTAGCAGTATTGTCATTATAAATTTCCTTCTCAGATTGCTTCATGATTGAAATTTAAAGGGGGAGGACGGGGATAAGGTTTACAGCAAGGAAGTACAACTGGATCCAAACCAGTTTGGGAATTAGGTGAAAGATTCAGTACTTTTTAGTTCTATATTTGTATTTGAAACATGACATTGGCATTTTCTGTTGACTAAACATTCTTTTAAAACAAAACTAAACAAACCAGCTTTTTACCAGGAAGGTGTTTCATTTAGCCCATGTAAATCTAGGAACTTGGGCTGCTGTTTTGTAGGCTTCTAAAGCTTCTTTTTAATATTTCTCAATATATCTTTGGGCAATTTTTTATATCTAAATGTTGGGAAGGTTCCAATATTTCTCAATATATCTTTGGGCAGTTTTTATATCTAAATGTTGGGAAGGTTCCAAAGTATCATCACTGCTATCATTACTTTAATAGTCAGTGGTTCTCATAATGTGTATTCTATAATTAGTCAGTGGTTCTCATAATGTGTATTCATTGTTGTTGGTATCTCATATTGAGCTATAGTTGAAAATAAGTTTTTAAGTAAGAATATTTCTTAATAACAAGGGACAAACTAATTTCCCCTTTCTGCCTGTTTTGCATCTATCATCCAGCAAAGATGTGTTGTAAAATCTGTTGAAAAACAAAGCTATTTCCTGATATGGTGTTTTATTCAGCTAGTCTATAAGTTGGCTCTAAATTTGCATTAAATTAAAACTAAATCCAAGTAAGGTGCTTTTCTCTTTGATTTTTTTCTTCTGTTTCATGTAGAGCCATATAGCCAATTATTATTTTCTGAAAAAGATTGAGGGGAAAGCAAACTATTACAAATCATACCATATACTTATGAATAATTAAATACCTTTGCCACCCACATACACAACCAGTTTATGATGAAGATTCTGTGTTACAGGGATCCTGGTTTTTGTGGGATAAGCCTCTTCATACTTTCTGACAACATATTTCTAGCTATTCCATTAGACCAAATGCACTCTGTGCAGCACCAGCATGATCTGGTTTTGTAACAACTCATGACTGGCTGGAATGAAGCATCCCCATCCAGTATTAGTTTGTCCTGGCTGGAGGAGTAGTGCAATGCATTATTTAGGTCTGCCCTTTAATGGATCTTAATAAAGTACTTGTTTTCATTCCTGTATTCACCCTTAGTATTTAGTTATATCACGTACATTCTGTCAGTTGTGTTACTTTTAGAATGTAATCTAAGATAACTTAGAAGAAGTCTGCATGAGAAAAGATATACTTGGCAAAATACTTTGTGCCTGTAGTTCCTCAGGAGTTATGTGGTTTTCCCATAAGCCTGAAGGGCTTGTTAGGCATTAGATTTGAGTCTTCAGAAACTCCACAGAATTGCTGCCTGTTCATGACACCAAATTATGTTAGTACTGGACTCCCAGCTGGTCTGTCGTGTATTACTGGGAGAAGGGTGCTACCAAATTATATTAGTACTGGACTCCCAGCTGCCCTGTCGTGTATTACTGGGAGAAGGGTGCGGAAATACAGGGCTGATGGGAAAACCTCAGCTGGCCTTACAGCCCTGTCAACAGCACTGGGGCATGAACATGTATTCTGCAGATGGTTTGTCTAGCAGTGTAAAATTTCCAGTGCAGGAGATGCCACAGTGTACCTCACATGGCCATTTGAGTGCTTTGCCTCTCTTACAGTGAAAAGGTTTTCAGAGTAACAACCTAAATCTTCCAACCACTTGCACTTTGTTGTTTTCCCTGAGGGAAATGCTGTTTATGTGAAGCATAGGCAAGCCTGGCTCACTAAGTCACCTCCAGACTCCTTAAAAGCAGTTCACAGTCTCTGAAAAACAATGTTCTTCTCCAAAGAAGCTTGTTTAGTTCAGCTTACTTCTATGCATTGTGTTTTCCAAACACCTTCCTTTTCCGAGCTTAAGATCTCTGCTTCTGTGTCGTGCCTTACATTTACCATCTTTTCTCTTTCAGACCATTCCTCTGATTTATCATGATAACTTGCAATTGTTATCCTGTTCCTCAGAATGTTTGCAGTTGCTCTTAAATTGATACAGTCTGCAGATTTTATAAGTGGGCTCCATGTTCTTTGATAGCATTAACAAAAGCATCAAACAGAACCAGGCTCTGCACAGGCCTGAGCAGGGACATCACTCATATCCTCCTAGATGAACACAAAGCCATTTATAGTCCAGTTACCCTCCAAGTGATTCATTAAGTTTTGCACTTGCTTCACTTGCCTTTTTTCACCACCATGTTTGCATAGCTTTTGTATTAAGATGCTATGGGTGACAGTAGGAAAGTCTTTCCTAAATTCAGGATATAGCTATATGTTCCCTTTTAACCCCTACACACTGTTTATCCTGTCAGAAGGATATTATTTGATTGGTTTGAGAAGAGCTGTTCTTCATCAGATATTTCTCTCTCTAACGTGTGTATTTTAATTCATTCAAATTAGGGAGTTGCATCTGCTCCTCTTCACTTGCCTTTTGTTTTCTTTCTGAAATTTTGAGAGTAGGCTTTGACTTCTTACTTGCGTTTTGTTTTCTTTCTGAAAAAGAAATTTTGAGAGTAGGCTTTGACTTCTTTTACGCTTCTCCATTCTTATCTGGAGAATGTTTGGAAATGTAACACTGGGCACTAAGTCATTCAAAGGAATGGAAAATACAGGCTGTGAAGGCACATCCCTCTTGGTTATCATCATATTTTTCAGGAATTCCAGTTATTCCCTTCACTAATGGTGCTTCTTGCCTCCCCGGGTTCCTGCGTGGACGTGGCTGCTACCTTCCCCTCTCTTCACCCCTTCCCTCCACATGTTCAAGATGCCACCCCAGTAAAAAGACTTTATTTGAACAGATATGGATAGTTTTGTTAATTATGTGTCAATATGCATTCCCCAGAATAGGATTTGCTATAGCTGTAATCCTCACAGTTTGGTGGAACAAGTGTTAATAGTTCTGGCAATAAAAGTAACGATCCCGTTTCTGTAAAAGCGATCCATTCTGCTCATCTGTACTAATTAATAACTCACCTAATGCAATTTCATTCTGTCCTTTGGTCAAACATTAATTATCCATTAATACAGAGGCAGCAGAAGTGCTTGCAGTTTGCTTTCAGGTGCTTGTGCTTCTGTTTATTCATGCAAACCAGAATGCAAATAGGAATGGGGAGTTCAAAACCAGTGTGATTGTTACAGTAACTGATGTCTGATTTTAAGGTATTCAGCTTTTACTTTTTGCTTTGTACAGCATTTATAAGTTACAGTATTGAATACAGTAATACAAGGTGTTCCAGGGCTGTGGTTTCTCAGTATATGATCTAATTAACTTGTTAGGGAGAATGTCGTTCACGTGTTAATAAATGGAATCATTTCTGGAACAATGCAGTGCAGGAAGATTTTCATTTTATGACAATACTTTCAAAATGTTTCCAGGAAAAAAAAAAAAGCATGTTGTTGTTCATTTATCCAAAAGTCTCAGTGTAAAGATGGAAGCTATGTGATTTCTTTCATGAGAGGCTAAATGGGTCTTGATGATGGAATAATGGCAACAACTTGATAGTTTTCATTAAGACAATTTTTAAGTTTCTTGACTCTTTGCACATCTCTCTGTTTGCAGTCCAGTGTTTACAAAGATGGGTTGTGTTAGCAATGCATTTTTCCATCGTCATAGAATCCTCTGTAATCAAAACTAAAATCCAGAGCCATCTCATAATGACTTGCTTTTTGCAATCTCTATGGGACTAATGGCCCTGGTTTGCTTCTAGTTCAGCTATTTCGTACCAAGCACCATTGCTGTGCATTTTCCCCCCTGTGTTGGCAGCCTAGAATTCCATGCTGTGGAATCATGCCTTACAGAAGTCTAAACAATTCTGTAATACTGACAGAGAAAATACAAATTTTTCATCCTGAATGAAAGGGTCATATGGGAAAGGTGGTACTTTGTGTGTAGGTCTGATTTAAAAGGATGCAGAGTACTTACCACTTCAGGTATTGCAAGCATAAAAGCTGCTTCAGTGAACTAGCCTGCAGAGACTTTTTTTGCAATGTCATTGTAGGTTTTTTTTGGTGATTGTAAGCTTGTTCAGCAGTGTTGGCTGCACTGAAAATGTAGTCAAATTGCAGTCTTTGCAGACAAAGTGGGAGGAAAAAGTAAAAGCATGCTAGAAAGCCAGCTACTCATTGTAGAGAACACCTTTCAGGTGTACAACAGGCACTAATATTTATTTGCAGTGATGTGAGAACTGTGTTTGTGTATGCCTCCTTGACAGAGCCTCCCATGGACCACTCCGATCTGGTTGCAGAGTTACTGAAAGAGTTATCAAACCATAATGAGAGAGTGGAGGAAAGAAAGGCTGCCCTGTACGAGCTCATGAAGTTAACTCAGGAAGAGGCTTTTGGTGTTTGGGATGAGCACTTCAAAACAATACTACTTCTGCTGCTTGAAACACTTGGAGATAAAGAGGTAAATTCAGGTTACTCCAGTTAAGAACGTTAGCAGAGCACATAGTTTGCTTACAGTATATTTGAAATTAAATGGGTTGTAGAAAGGGCACAAATTCCAGTTAGTGCTGAAAAACAAAGAACTGTGGAAGTACAAAAATATGCTCTGATGGTGAGAAGGGCATCAGTGATGCTTACCTTCTTCCATATTCCTATGTTTTGATTCTGACATGATAGATTGAATGAAACATTTTTTCACTGAAATTCAGATCTTATCTGTTAATAGCCCCTGAAGGAATCTAGAGTATCAAAACATCAGGTGTAGCAAAGCATGTAAAAATACATTTCTAAAGTACAGCAATGGTGGTTGTGAGGAGTTTGAGTTCTGTGTAATTGTTCTCTACACAGACCATGTTTTTGAAATTACTGAGGACACTTAATACTTGTTTGGGTTTATTTTTTAATTGTAAAAAAATTTCAAACATGTATTTACATGATGGTTTTATCAGCCCTTGTGTTTGCAGCTTAACTTCTGTTTAGCACAAATACATCAAATTAGTTTAGCCACATGTTTATGATATTGTCACCTGAATTTTCTGCACAAAGAGATTGAGAAGGTTTTCCCCCCTAGCTTTATTTGTTAACACCAGGTTCAGACAGTATATATGTGCAGAGCATAATTGATATTTTTCCATTATTTAAGTCTTTTTCGGCAGCTGAACAAATGTTTAAAATGTCTGTTTAAAGATACATAACTCACTTATTTTAATACTGAATCTTTAGCATGCAATTAGAGCTTTGGCACTGAAAGTTCTAAGAGAAATTCTAAGAAACCAGCCAGCAAGGTTTAAGAATTATGCAGAGCTCACCATCATGAAGACATTAGAAGCGCATAAGGATCCTCATAAGGAGGTTAGTACTCAGTTATTTTATTTGTTTGAGATTATGGCAAATAATGAAGGAAACAGAATGAAACAGCTGTCCAACAGGAGTTGGTTGTGGCCAGGAATAGTGAGGGGATTTGGAAGAGGAGTGCCCGTAACCTTGCTCAGAAGTATTTATGATGCCTGCATACACAGCAAAGGCTAATGCATGTAGGGTGTAAGAAACACAAACACAATAACCAGCCCAATATTAAACACTTGCTGTCAGTGTCACTGATGCTGTGGAAAGAATCCAAGTTCATTATTAAATTAATACGTCTTCCCCATGCAAGGGCACTTAATCTGTGGAACTTATTTTGGAGTTTCAGGGTTTGAAGTTGACTGTGGTTCCTCCTATACCAAAGACTATATCACTCATCTGATACTCATTTCTCTTTTCCCTGTACACTCTTGATTTGTTTCATATACTGTATTTATTACGGTGTCTTGTCCTCATTGTTTCTCCTCTGTTACTGTGCTTTTTTCTCTCTCATGGTTTCATGTGTATGAGTGAAAGAGTAAAGGGAACAGGGATGGAGAGAAACAGTTATGGAGGTTTTTGTACATCATTGGTCTACAAAATGCTCATTTTGTATAGTGATTTCTCTTGTTAGATGGGAGATGCCACTGCAGCACTAATATGAAGATCAGATGTTCGTTTTCTCTGTTGTGCCCATGTTGTATCCTGAACTTCTGTACCTGTTGACTGCCTGCCTAATTACTCTTGTTCTGCATATTCTTCAGGCTTAAAGTACTGTCTTGTCATAGTTTCTTTCAAAATTAGAGGAGGAAAGAACCCAGCTAGATTGACTTCTAGAAGTAGAAATCTAGGTGTGTCATTACATATGGCTTTGAAATGAATGTGAAAACATGTTCCATCAGTGATCACTGATCTAACAAGCACTAACAAAGGACAACACAAGAAATTATGGGTTTACAGAGGTATTTCAGTGTGTAGTTGGAGGGTATTACAGAGGAAAGAAATTTCAGATCTGATTCAACAAGCAGGTTTGAAAAACTTATATGTGTATTGCTGGGGACATTGATTAGCCACAGAGTGTTGGGAAGAGTTGTGTTTTTAGGAAAGTATGTCCAACAGTTGGAGTCAAAGGATGTGTTTCTACCATATTGCAAAGCTCTTGATAGGAATTTTTTTTTGCTCAAGGCCATTACTGCTAGACAACAGATTATAGTAACAGTCTCTTGTAAATCATTTTTCCATGTCTTTTACTTATTCTTTCAATAGGTGGTGAGATCTGCTGAAGAAGCTGCTTCCATGCTGGCCACTTCCATTAGCCCAGATCAGTGCATCAAAGTTCTCTGTCCAATTATCCAAACTGCAGATTACCCCATTAATCTGGCTGCAATCAAAATGCAGACAAAAGTTATAGAAAGAGTATCTAAAGAAACCCTTACTCAGCTTTTACCAGAGATTGTGCCAGGTCTAATACAGGTAAGGAGAGAAGAAAAGAGAGAAACATCAATAAATAAATAAACTGTATACATAAGAACTGCAAAGATTCTTTAAAAATAATTGCTTCTCCTGAAGGATTTTATCTGTCTGATAGTTGATATCTGCCTTAATCCAAAATAACTCGGGTAATGGGTACAAGCTCTTTGATTAGCAGGTAGCTAAATTATAAGTGTGATTAGGACTCAAAGGAAATCTCAGTAGGATATAAAGTACCGGTTATAGTTAAGCTTGGTAGATACTTTGAGTTATAAGATAGTTTTCTGTTGTTTGTACATTTTTCCAGGTTATATCATTTGGTCTGAAATTGTCCATGTTGTATTTGTGTAATTGTAGGGTTTTATCACTTGGGGTTTGGGGGAGGCAAAAGGAAAGAAGCAGTTTGGAGAAAGTTTAATAAAATGAGAAGGATATCAGAGGTTTTTCCTCCTTTGTCTTGGAAAATAAAATCTTTCCCACCTTATCAAGGCCCCAAAGGCATTCATTTCCATCTGATGGATAAAGACTTTTCAGAGTTGGCAGCTTCATTCTGCAGATTTCTGTCTTTAATGGGTGTGATCCAGTTATACATCTGCAGGAAAGTAGAGGCAGAGAAGGGACCCTCTGAGAGGGAGTGTGAGTGAGACAGCTAGGCCTGGGATGCTAGCAAAGTGACAAAAGAAACAAAAATCATTAAGGAATGAGATAAGAGCTAACATAAGAATCTTCAGCTGTTCAGAGAATTCTTCTTTCAGAGTCAGGAAGCTCTAGATTGTGAGCAGTCTTCTGCTTTAAATAAACATCTGTATAATCTAGAACAGTTCTCTTAAATGCTCCCCTACTGCATGGCAGCAGCTCTGTTTGCAGTGTAACTTATGAACAGAATTGTGTGGGGTTTAAATTCAGCCTGGAAGATGATTATCAGTGGTGATTAATAAGCAGCCTGCTTTGTAAATGCATGCTCTGTATTTGCGTGTTGGTTTTTTTGTTGGAATGCTTTGTGGGGCTACACAAGCATTAGTTTGCTGTAGACTTCAATGTATTTATTATAGTAAATAAGTAAATACCTTTCTGAGACTTTTAATCATTAACTGATAGGGTATTAATGTTAATTTTATTGCTTTCTAGGGTTATGATAATTCAGAGAGCAGCGTTCGTAAGGCATGTGTTTTCTGCCTTGTGGCCATTCATGCAGTAATTGGTGATGAACTGAAACCACATCTCAGTCAACTCACTGGCAGTAAAGTAAGTAAAAGATACCATTTGAAGAAATCTTGGTTCATAATTGCATGTATGCATTTGTGTTTTGGTTGCCATTGCCAGAAAGTTTCAATAAAGTATATACTTGCATGAGAATATCAGAGCTGGAGAAACCCTCTGAGGATTAATATAACTTTGCCATAAAATATTCAAAACTGAAAGTCCATAGATCTTTATTTATGGAAGTGTACAAACTTTAGCATTAACATACTTACTAGACTGTGTTTCTTACTGCCTTTTAATGCATTTAGTTACTTATATGCTGGTAGTAGTGATAATGGCTGTACTCTGCTTGGTTTTTCTTATCAGTCTTGATTTTCAGGCAAGAATGTAATATGTCATTGTAACATACAGCAGTTTTATTTGCTCTTTCTCCTTGTTATTTTGCTTTCATCAGTCCTTTCAGTACCTCTGATTTGAAATAACAGTAGGCTGTCTGTGGTCCTTTTCAGTTCAGGATTTGTATGTATTTTTGACACCTCTTACATGCATTTTTGTGCATGCAAACAGCTGTATGTTACTTGTGAATATCTTTGTCCTTAACAGGACAATTAATTTTGAGTATCTGTGAGTAAGACAGTTATATCTTACAATCACTGCCAGAGAGTATTTTTATTTAAAGTGATTCTAGACAGTATTGGAAGCTTTACTAAGTACCAGCATCCACAGCTCTGACCAGAGGCTTAAAACCTCAACATTAAAAGAAAAAAACCCAACAGTACTGTATTTAAAACAGCATTGTAATTTGAAGAAAATATTCCAGCTATTTGAATCTGGCTACCTTAGATCATACTCTTCTTTAAATCCTCAAAGAGGTTTGGGCAGTTTCTTTGTGACAAATTTTGCTGTGTTTGATGTTTCCATTGGCAAGTGTGTTCCCTTGGAATCAACTGTGTAAAACACATCTTTGCATTTGGGGAAAAGAAAAAGTTTAATATCTCCTTTGTTGTACCATTCTTGTAGTCAGTCTGTACAGTTTGCAAATACTAAACAAAGTGAATTTCTGACTTGAATTTGCAGATGAAATTATTGAACCTTTACATCAAACGTGCACAAACAGGCTCTGGAGCAGGGGATACAGGAGCAGATATGTCTGGACAAAGCTAATGAACCTGACAAGAGTTAACCAGGTCTCCTAAAGCAAGGGCAAGGCCCTCTTCAGTGAAAGGAAGATTCTTACATACAGTTTCTGGAACTTTTCTCTTGGGTTTTTTTCCCCTTTCTTTTGTTGTTGTTTTTTATTTTATTTTTAATTTTGTTTGGGGTTTTGTTCTTTTTTTTTCTTTAACCAACGGCTGTCCTCAGCCTGCATGTGACTGTTGCAGTAGAATTATTCCAAATCCAAGGAAAAACAGTATTAACATCAGTTGATCAAAGCAGAATAAAATCTAAAAATTATCCTATCCATCACTTACCCTGTTCATAATCCTGTGTCTTCCCATTAACTTTTGCCAGTGTTACTGTATTAAAAACAAAAAAGATTTTTTTGATGCTAATTAAAAAGGTATGCTTTAAGCTTCAGAAGTTAAAATATAAATTCTGTTGCTTTTATTCAGCTGCAGATAACATTACTTTTTTATTGCTGTTTTGTTTGAGTATCATGTCCTTCGCTAGAAACAAGAAGTGATGTGAAACCAGGCTGAACTAGTCTGAACTGCAGTGAGACTCGTTCACTGTGTTGGTGGTTCATCATCTTATTTACAGCTTGTTTGGGATATTCTGGAGATTGAGAAATATGCCTATAAAAAGAAAGCTGGATTGATCCAGTTCTGTAAAAGTGATATTGTTCATTGGTTGTATGTTTGTTGCATAAATAAGAATTTAGTGTGCGCAGCAGAGGACTGGTACAACCAGTGCCTCTTAATGTGGAAGACAGCCCTTCCAGGGCAGCAGTGCCAGCCTGGTCATAGTGTGGCAGTCTGCTCTGGAGCAGCAGAGTTAATGGTCACTTGATGGACCTGAACCATCCTTGTCACCTTTCGTTCTTCAAGCAGGATGCTTCAGAATGGAGTGCTCTGTCCAAGCATGCTCAGTATGTATTTATCTTTATCACTAGAATGTTTCCTCTCAACCTAATTGCTGGAACAAGTAGTCTTGTATTGTAACTCACATGGGATTTTATGACAACAGTGCAGAAAACTATTTATTCCTTACCCTCCTAAAAGCACCATGATTTTCTGCATTGAATTTAAAGGGGGGAGGGGGGATAGTCACAAATGCTATGGGTCTTGCCACCTTTTAATTTAAAGAAAAATATATATTTTGGATGAGTTGGAAAAGCTGCACCAAATTATTTGCATGGTTTTCTTGAATAGCATCCTCAAGACCCATCTGGATTAAGATGTGGAAATGTTTCAAGGGTTTGTTTTTCCATTTTTGAAAAAGAGTTAGTATATTGTGAATAATGGTTCTTTGTATTTATGAAGTTGATAATGGAAAGAGAACAAAGATCAAGTAAATGTGTCCCTGAATGTTGTCTTTTTCTTTTTTTTCTTTTTTCTTTTTTTTTTTTTTTAATATGAGCAGCAAGCTAATTAAGTGAGAAATGGGATGAAACAGTGCCCTTCCCAGGAATGGTGAAACATTTTTTTTCTGACTTTTTTTCCCTTTGACTGTGATGTTGTCTAGTTGTAGGAAGTGTATCCTGATAAGAGAGAAAATAGCGGTGCCAAGGATGATGATCTATGCTAGGCTAAAATTCTCTCTACCTCTTCAGGGTGACTAATTTTTGACTGAGCTGCTGCATATAGCACCCGATAGAAGAACTATCTACAGGAAAATCTTTTATTTTTTTCCAAATTATCACTTAACGTGTATTCAGAACTCTATTCTTCAACATTGCAGCCAAATACCATAAGAAACTACTTACACACTTTACTTGCTAGGAACCCTGAAAAACAAAACTGAATTAAAAACTAAGTCAGATGGTTGTAGTTCTGTGAAAGGTTGTTTTCACTTTAGTTTGAAGTGAATGCAATAGGAAGAGCTAAGAGGTGGTTGTTAAAGGAGCAGTGCCATTGCAGAGATTTATTTGGAGGAATATATGTAAAGACTTAAACCCAAGACTGTCATAACTTGTTGCTACCCCTTTTTAGCAGCTACATCAAGAAAATAGTATCTCCTCTTTCTTTCCTTTGTTCTGTGTAACATCCTTGTTGTTTTCTACTGTTTAATTACATTGTGTATTTATAGTTCTATGCTTACCATTGTGCATATACTGGCAATAAAATGTACATAACATTACTTTAAAAAATAGCAATGTATACATTCTGGTTTTCTGTTTTATTTGGTCACATGCTATAAGAAAAGTTATAAATGTGATTGATACAGCATTGGTTAAAAAAATTTATCTTAATCTCCATGTTTTATGTGTTCAAATGATGTTTCCTTATATACTCTTGTTACTGAATCTGACTTGGCATATGAGAACATGCTGTGAATACAGGTATGCTAGACAAATTTTTAAAAAACTGAATAGAATCTTTATGAACACAGTTTTCTTCATCCAGGCAGGATTCTTGTTTATTATTTCATTTATTTGTACATGATACAGCATTTGCATTTTATTTTTTTAATATTTTAAAAAATATTTTTCAGTCTACAATCTTGTGGTTTTTACATTTTGATTAATCAAAAGGTCACTTAAAAATTTGCATACATTCTAAGCTTCATAGTCCTTTATGCTATTCCTGCATTTTCTACAGGAAAGATTTATTTTCAGAGGATCATTGTAAGATGACTGCTATGTGTCATCTTTTTGAAGATGATTTCATTACTATTTCATACTGAAAATATAAGTTATTGAAACATACAGTATATATTCTAGATGGAACCTATTTTTTTTAATGTGTAAACAGAAGTTGGTAAGAAAGAGATGGTTTTTATCCCCTACATGAATGAAACATTTTGCTCCAGGTAGGGGGGCGTGAAGATACTTACAGAAAGTTTGTTTGTCAGTTTTGCTTCTAAGCCATCCTTAAACGTTCTAAGCACAGATATCCCATGTATTAAAAATCTGAATGGAATATATTTAAATGAATATTTTACTTATGACTAGTTCTGTTTCCAGCAAAGATGGGGCTGCTATCGTTGTAAACAGAATCTATTTATGTTACATGAAGCCATCAGAATGTAAGAATTTGCAACAAAATTATTTCCACAGCAGCCAGTTACCAGAGTCACTGCATTGCTTTTTGCCTTCCTTTCCTTTATTATAAATAGACATTAGCTCAGAGAAATTCAAGCAATGATTAGTCATGCCTTATGTTCCTGCTGGAGGTGGTTTCTCTAATGGATTAGCATATAGATGTGGGAAAAAATAGGGCAGTTCTAAGTTGCTGTTCTTTCAGAAAGGGTTTCTATATGTTCTTTCTAATATCCTGTGAAGATAGGTCATCACAGTCATTTGAATACTGAAATGTAATTCTTAAAGGTTGAGTTTGGGCTTAAAAAAGAGGAAGGAGAAGGAAAGCTACATGCAGAATTAGGATAGGAAGTGCACATCTTGGATGTCTCAGACTTGGATGTCATTTGCTTTAAAGAATTTTGATTAACAATTTCTGTTCAACTGAAGTCTTAGCAAGGAAGTTGGGATAATAAATGTAAATCAGGAGAGCTGATCATGTACATTTTCCTGAGTTGGCTTGCTTGTTTGTTTTTGAAGATAAAGGTTGGAACAGATTGAGTTGTGTTATTATTTGTGGTCTGGGTCACAGAGCAAAAAACACCCAAACATTTGTACCCTGAAACAGTTATATTTTCTTAGTCCTTTCTGTGAATGTTTAAACATTTAAGTGAATTCACAAACATACCCATGTAAAAAGTCTGTTGTGAGTACAGACCCAAACTGCTCACAGTTTTCATTTTCAGCAAAGGAATTCAAATTCTGAGTATGAAGATTGTCCCTTTCAAACAGTCATACTAAAGAACATAATCTTGAGGAATAAATCTGTTGAATTACACTACAGTTACTCCCTGTGGCAGCCTAGTGAGAATGGCTCATCTGGCTGAGGTAACTTGCACTGGGTCAGGTTAGAACTTAGCAAACACAGAGAACACAATAAACATAAATATGATGGAGAGGAATAGGCAGTTTGGGAACTAGAGGATTATCTGGGGACAAAACCCGATGTCTTCTCCCAGTTAAAACAGTAAACTGATGAAAATCAATATTCATATTACATTCACTAAAGAAAACATATTCAATTCCCCCCCTACATTTTGTAATTACGTTTTCCAGCTCTTTGAAAGCACATACTTCAAAGATTTGCTTCATAATTTGTATATGTTTTCCTTTTTCTTTTTTTTTTTTGTTAGAAGTTTTTCAGTAATGTGGGAAGTTTGAGAAACTAATTGTGCTAGTCTGGCAAGTGAAAAAATCCCACTTCATTTACTGTGTCTCTAGATTGTGTAGGTTTGTAGGCTTCAGTATATTTTAAGACCTCGGGGTTCCCAAACTGTGCAGCTTGGATTACTCCATTTAAAGAAGTTTCTTCATTTGCTGATTTTAGTATAATAAGTGTGTTTACTAAGAAGTTGCCTACTGAGGAAAGTCTGGTAACAGGCAATTTCTGCTGGGACAGAATCACAAGCATGTAAATTGCTATTTAATAGTAGCTCTGGAAATGGTGTTTTGCAAGCAGTTTTGAATACTGTTTGATTTCTTTCAAATACAAAGCTTCTGCAACTCTTGATGTATTTTGGGTAGATAAAAGTGATTCTACTGGAGATATGTTGGAGTAAGATCGAAAAAAATTATGGGTAGGAAAATATTTCCTCAGTGGAAAATGGAACATATCCTGCATATAACTATTCAATATCCAGACTTGTTACCTTTGGCAGGAGATAGAAAGGCAGCTATGTGTTATCTTAGGCATCAAAGTTTTCCAGTTTTGGTGTGTTTTCTTTCCTAGACTTCCATCCACTAATGCTCATCTTTGGACCTCTGTAAAGTAACACTAAAATCAGTTTTGGAGGTGGTTCTGTTAACTCTGTGTCAGGGTGGATTCAAAGGTAGTGCCTGTCTGTCCAAGATCTATAGCAGTAGACAGACATTCTCAAAAGTCAGCTAGACTGGTTTAGATATTCTCTCACCATCTATTCATCTCTGCCTGTGACAGGAGTTCCCTTACTCTATTCCAGACAAATCAGGTTGGGGAACAGTCTCAAACTGATCCTCCAGTAGCACCCTGGGAGCACAAACTTCTGCCAGAGATGCTGGCAAAGTGAATGAAAGTCTGTCCTGGGCTTTGAGGGTCTGCCTGTGTGTGAGGACAAATACAAAAGCACCTACTTCTTAGCATGGTTGATTTAGCTTGAGCACATGTCAAAATACCAGGGAAGACAAGGAAACTGATTTCATCTTGGATGAAGTGCAAGCTGGTAGGGGAACTGGATGTAT